ACTTAAAAATCCAATTTTTACGGTTTTTTTTAAGATCTGGCTTTTTTTGTGTTACTGGGTTTGCTTTTGCTTGTTGACTCTTTACTTGGGTCGTCTCCGACTAGCAAATCCTCGAATTTTGAAGTTTAATTAGTTAATTGTTTGTAACGATGTCTCTCTCTCTTTCTTTGTCTTGTAAGTGTTTGATGTTATGTCTCATCGGATTTACTTTTGTTTTTATAATATGACCCAAAGGATTTGGCTTTGTTGCTGGGAATCTAGATGTTTCTTGATAGCAAGATTCAAATACTTATGTCTAAACCAGTTAATGATCTTGATTTGAAGTTCTAAAAGCATCATTTAGTGGCTAATTGAGTGAATCTTTATCTCAAAATTAAGTTGTTCAGTTTCTCTATTAGTTGATTGATCCTATTTAATGGATTTCACTTGTTTATTGGGCTTCGATCGTGCTCGGTATTACCTGTTAATGATCTTGATTCGATTCGAAGTTCAAAAGCATCATTTTAATGGCTAATTTGAGTGAATCCTTTATCTTGAATTACTCCTGAGTTGATCAATTTTTGTATTAGTTGATTGATCTATCTAATGGAGTATTGTTGACTTGTTTACTAGGCTTCTATCTCGATCGGTTTTACCGTGTTTGATACACAAGATTCCTCGTACTAACAGTAGCAGTTTCTGGATCCCTGTCATTCAAGTCATCGCCAGCTTCAACCTTCTCTTCTCAATTGTGGTTAGACAACTTCTTGGTGACAGTCGACTGGTCTTATGAATCACTTCATTTGTCAAAGTATTTTCTGTTATAAAACGACTTTTGTTTATATATTTTCAGATGTCAGTTAATTTGCTTAAATTCGGGAGGAAACATTGGTGGCAGTATTGCTATCTTTGGGCAGGTTTGTATGGAACCCATGTTCCTCATTTTCAGAAACAAGTCGCCTGTTAGATCAATTCATCTTTTACAATTTGATCAAAGGTATTCTTATAAACCGGAACGTTTGGTTTCAGTGTGGGTCGAAGGACCACTTGGATTCGGTTTACTGATGGGCTGCCGTATAACTGAAGCGTTTCAACTATACTTCATATTTGTCAAGTAAGTATAACTGTTAACCAAAATGCTTTCCATCGTCTAATTGTGGTTCCTGCTCTTTGCTTATATATATTTTTTGCAATGTAGGAAACGTTTACCACCCGTTAAATCTTACATTTTTCTCCCCCTTGTTTTGTTGCCATGGATCCTTGGAGCTGCAAGTAAGAATTTCTAAACTTTTATTTTGTACTTTGCAAGTGTTTCTGGTGTTTTCCTCGTAGTGGATAATAAGCTCATAAGCTTTTGATTTTGCTTTTAGTTATCCATGCAACAAAGCCTCTCAACGACGAATGCCATATGGGTCCTCAATGGACTTTCCCAGTTGCAGGCCTTCATGCTCTCTATGTCCTTACTTTGATTGCATTCACAAGAGCGGTCCGACATGTAGAGTTTCGATTTGATGAGCTTAGAGATCTCTGGAAAGGGATTCTCGTCTCAGCCACATCAATCGTTATATGGGTAACAGCGTTTGTGTTGAATGAGATTCATGAAGAAATCTCTTGGCTTCAGGTTGCTTCAAGATTTGTTCTTTTAGTCACGGTATGAAACTTGTACTACGATTGTGCTTATTATTTTGTAGACCATTTAACAGACTTCCGAGTTGATACTTTTCATTTAGGGTGGCATTCTCGTTGTGGTCTTCTTTTCCATCTCGAGTAATCAACCTCTTCTCTCACAAATCAGCCTGAAGAAAAGAGAACACTTTGAGTTTCAAAGAATGGGTCAAGCTCTAGGTATACCAGATAGCGGATTGTTATTTCGGAAGGAGGAATTTCGACCTGTTGATCCAAACGAGCCACTTGATAAGCTTCTTCTCAATAAAAGATTTCGCCAATCGCTTATGGAATTCGCAGATAGGTGGGTACTCTAATTGATATCTATCATTTCTTCCCTCGTATTCATTCCGGTTTCGCCACTAGTATTGAAACTAAATCTTTATACGTTGTTAGCTGCTACGCTGGAGAAACCTTGCATTTCTATGAAGAAGTGTATGAACATGGGAAAATCCCGGAAGGTGATTCGATTAGAAGAATCTACATGGCTCGACATATCATGGAGAAGTTCATCGTTGCAGGTTTGTTATTTATCCAACTTCTTCATCTTCATAATGAAACCGGTCTCAGTTGTTCTCTGTTAAAATCTCTTAACTATCAATTCCTTTAACGCAGGAGCGGAAATGGAAGTGAACTTATCTCATAAAACCCGGCAAGAGATCTTAACCACTCAAGATCTAACTCACCGTGATCTCTTCAAGAACGCATTAAACGAAGTGATGCAATTGATCAAGATGGTAATTTTCAACATCTCTCTTTCACTCTCTTTAGCTCGCAATTCTTGGTTCTCGTTTCTATGTAGTCATCGTTTTAATGATTTTGAAGAATTTGGTGAGAGATTACTGGTCATCCATCTTCTACATCAAGTTCA